CCTCCATCACCGATGCTCAGTACACATTGCTGCTACTATCTACAAAATGCACTGCAGAAATTCAAAGATCCTTAGACAGCACCTTCCAAACCCACAACTTCCACCACCTGCAAGTTCACCTCCAAGATACACATCATCCTGACTTGGAAATATTTTGTCACCCCTTCACTGTTGTTTGGTTAAAATCCCTTTCTGAACCCCAATACCTACACCCCAAGAACTGGCAAGGGTTATCTTGTCATTGTTTGTGGAATCTTGCTGTGTATATAATGACTTCTACATGTTGCCTTTTTTTTGACAGCCACAAGATACTGAATGATCTATTTTCATTGTCTTTTCAGCATTATACAGTTTGTGGAAAAGCAAATATAGCAGTTTATTTTATTATTTTGGAGTCTCCTACCACTGCAGAGCCCCAGTTCCATCCTTACAGACAGGGAGAGGCCTCTTTGCTATTGTCACAGAATCTCCAGGAGCAGGCAGTGATGTGATGGAGGACACCGAGTGGGGTAGCTTGAGCAGCTGTGTTGGGAGGGCACTGAACAGGATAGCAGGAGCAGGCGAATAATGCCTCACTGGAGGAAAGGCTGTCTTTGGGGGAAGGGGGTCTTATGGGGAGAAAGATCAGACAGACAATGGAATTTCTAAACCAGAGGCAAACTTCCATATAATTACTGTGTCCTCCTTGTTTAACCTCAATTTCCCTTCATGTTTGTAATGCCCTGATGTCAGCAGAATAAAGAATCCCTGCTTCATGATCTTTGGGCCGTCTGTGTTTTTAAATCTCATGTTAAACTACCCAGTGTAGAGCTGCCTGCTGAGTCCTCACTCCATCCCTCACCGTTAGGAAGGAGAACACGTGCTGGCCCATTTCTTGGCTGAGCCAGGATCCGGTTATGGAGGAGAGTTCTGATGTGACAAGAGAGTTTTCCTAGTATCCATTAGTGGGCGGTGGTGGGCTGAGGGTACAATTGGGTGAATGTAAAATGGGATTGCAGAAAAGTAGTAAAGAACCAAAAACTCCATGATTGAAATGTGAGACTTGAATGATTCATTTCTGCAAGCAGAGATTTTTAATTGGAAGCTTTTGGGAAATAATAAGCAGTGAAGGCAGCCTGACTTTTCTCAGTACAGGTAGTTAGCTATATGTGCATGCAGATGTCAACGTGTGGGGACAGAATGGTTCCTATTCTAATACACGGTGCGATTCCCAGTGCTGAGGGAGGAATGTTTATGTTAAATATGTCAGCCTTCACAGAGGGAGCTAAATTGAATCTGATAAAGGTCCTGTCTAAGAGTTACTATCAGGACCATCTCTCGATATACAGAGTACTGACCAACAGCATTGCACAGTGGTTAGCACTGCTGCCTCACAGCACCAGGGACCTGGGTTCAATTCCAGCCTCAGGTGACTGTGTGGTGTTTAAATATTCTCCCTGTGTCTGCTCCCACAGTCTAAAGATGTTCCGGTTAGGTGGATTGGCGGATGTGCAAGCTAGTCATGGTAAAAAAAGTGCAGTGTTACAGAAAGCAGGCAGGTGTTGGTGCAGACTCAAAAGGGCTGTATGGCTTCTATCTGCACTGTAGGGATTCTACAGTTCTGTGAACATTCCTCAGTCATCTAACGGCTCCAAGCTGATCACCGACTTCCTCAGTTTGTGATCAGTACTATGTGCAATCTGCCCGCCCACACAAGGAGTTTGCATTGGGTGAAGCCGGAACTGAATGGTTATAAACATAGAAACACAGAAGATAGGAGCAGGAGGCCATTCTGCCCTTCAACCCTGCTTTGCCATTCATCACGATGACGGCTGATCGTCCAACTCAATAGCCTAATCCTGGTTTCTCCCCATAACCTTTGATCCTGTTTGGCCCAAGTGCTGTATCTGGCCACCTCTTGAATACATTCAATGTTTTGGCATCAATTACCTCCCGTGGTAATGAATTCCACTGGATCACCCCTCTTTGGGTGAAGAAATGTCTCCTCATCTCCATCCTAAATGGTCTACCCTGAATCCTCATACTGTGACCCCTGGATGTGGACACACCCACCATCAGGAACATCCTTCCTGCATCTACCCTGTCCAGTCCTGTTGGAAATGTTATAAGTCTCTATGAGAGCCCCCTCATTTGTCTGAACTCCAGCAAAAACAATCCTAACCTAGTCAATCTCTCCTCATACGTCAGACCCGCTATCCCTGAAATCAGCCTGGTAAACCTTCGCTGCACTCCCTCGAGATTAAGAGCATCCTTCCTCTGAAAAGGAGACCAAAACTGCATGCAATATTCCAGGTGTGGTCTCACAAGGCCCTATGTAACTGCGACAACACATCCCTGCTCCTGTACTCGAAACCTCTCGCAATGAAGGCCAACATACCATTTGCCTTCTTTACTGCCTGCTGCACCTGCATGCTTACCTTCAGCGACTGGTGTACAAGAACTCCCAGGTCCTGCTGCACACTGCCCTCTCCAAATTTACAGCCATTCAAGTAGTAATCTGCCTTCTTGTTTTTGCTTCCAAAGTGAATAACCTCACATTTATCCAAATTATACTGCATCTGCCATTGATTTGCCCACTCACCCAACCTGTCCACATGATGCTGAAGGATCTCTGCATCCTCATCACAGTTCACTCTCCCACCCAACTTGGTAACATTTGCAAACTTGTAAATAGCTGGGGTCCCAGCACCGATCCCTGTGGCACCCCACTAGTTACTGCCTGCCAATTTGAAAAGGGCCATTAATTCCTACTCTTTGTTTCCTCTCTGCCAACCTGTTTTCTATCCATCTCAATACACCTCCCCCAATCCCATGTGCTTTAATCTTGCACAATAGTCTTTTATGCAGGACTATGTCAAATGCTTTCCGAAACTCCAAATAAACACATCGACAGGCTCCTCCCTTGTCAACTCTACTAGTTACATCTTCATAGAATTCCAACTGATTTGTCAAACATGATTTCCCCTTCATAAATCCATGCTGACTCTGTCTGATTCTGCCACTGCTTTCTAAATGCTCTGCTATAAAATCCTTGGTAATAGATTCAAGAATTTTCCCTGCTACCAATGTTAGGCTTACTGGTCTATAATTCCCTGTTTTCTCTCTATCTCCCTTTTTGAATATTGGAGTGACATTAGCTACTCTCCAATCTGCAGAGACAGTCTATAGAATCCTGAATGATGACCATCAATGCATCCACTATTTCTAGTGCCATTTCCCTAAGTACTCTGGGATGTAGATTATCAGGCCCTGGGGATTTATCCACCTTCAATCCCATCAATTTTCCCAGCATCTTTTCTCTACTAATACTGACCTCCCTCAATTCTTCCCTCTCACTAAATCTTGCATTCTCCAACATTTTTTGTATCTGATTTGTGTCCTCTTTTGTGAGGACAGAAGCAAAGTATGTAATCAGTTGCTCAGTCATTTCTTTGTCCCCTACTATATGTCCCTCTGTTTCTGTCTGTAGGGGACCAACATTTGTCTTCGACAATCTCCTTCTCTTCACGTACCTATAAAAACTCTTAGCGTCAGTCTTTATGTTCCCTGCAAGCTTACTTTCATACTGTATTTTCTCCATCTTAATCAATCCCTTGGTCCTTCTTTGCTGAATTCTAAATTGCTCCCAATCTTCAGACATATTATTTGGCTTGGCCAATCTGTATCCTTCTTCTTTGGATCAGATACTATCTCTAATTTCGTTTGTAAACCATGGATTGGCCCTGTTACCCATTTTGCTTTTGTGTCAGACAGGAATAAACAGTCATTGCAGTTCCCCATGCGTTCCTTAAACAGTACCATTGCCTGTCTACTGTCATCCCTTTAAGTAACTCTCACCAATCTATCAAGGCCAGCTCATGCCCCATATCTTCATAGTTTCAATTATTAAGATTCAGTGCTCTAGTCTCCGAATCAACTACCTCACTCTCCATCTTGATTAAAATTCTATCACGTTATGGTCACTCATCCCCAAGGGGTCTTGCACAGCTAGGCTGATGAAAACCTGAACTTTTTTCTTTAGGAGATGGGGGTCAAGATTCATTTTAAGCACATTAAGCCAAGATTCCCAGGCTGATTATTGGCTCATTGTTCAGGATGGGGTTCAATTGTCTATGTGTGGGACTCGAGCCTGGAACTTCAAACCCAAAGGAAGGGACACCACCCCCACATCAACACCTTTAACAGTTTAAATCACAGACATAGAGAAGATGCTCCCATTGGAGTCAGTTTTAGGTTAAGGGATGGGCAGATTTAAAACAGAGATGAGGAGGAATGACTTCTCAAACAGTCATGAATCATTGGAACTCACTTCTCCACAGTGTGAGGGAAACTAGGACACGGAATACATTTGAGGAAGAGATGGACTGATTTTTAATTAGTAATAGGTTGATGGGTTAATGGGGAGCCAGCAGGAAAATGGAGTTGAGGCTGAGCAGAGATCAGCCATGGTGTTAAATGACAGAGTAGGCCACGGGGCAGAATGACCCACTCCTGCTCCTGGTTCTTAATTTCACAATCAGAATTAAGGGGCAAATACAAGGTAGTCACTAATAAATACACCAGGCAATTCTGATGAAGTAACTTTTCCCTGGCAGTAGTGAGAAATCTGCTGCCATTACAGACTAATTGACATGACGCACTGAAGTGGAAACTGGATGAAAGATACGAGGGAGAAAGAAACAGAAGGTTATGTTGACGGACTCAGAGAAAGTGAGGTGGGACAAAGCACGTGTGGAGTAGAAACAGTGAGAGCAGCTGGAACTGTGCTGTAAATATTTCAACATCAAAACAACAGGTTTCTTGTAAAGTGCTTCAAGATGTCCCATGAACATGGACCAAGTTATAAAAAACATAAATTATTTTTTTCAACCTGCAGCAGCGTGCTGATTGAAGGGGATGGGCGAGAGACAGATCAAAGCGCGTGAGAAATGGTAGTATTCCGCATGGCACAGCTTCTCTCAGCAGCTTCTCTCCTGCAGGGAAATAGCGAGTACACGTACCACAGTCTGAAAGTTGCCCCTCACTGGCCTGAAACCCTCGGTGGGCCCACACTCCTCAGCATGGCCATTACAGAAGCAGCTCCCCATCGCAATGAAGTCGTAGATTGCGTAGTGTGCAAACCACTGGGGTTTGAGGTTGGCTGCCGGGCTCAGGCAAGGACACGACTGTCGCTTGAGAAGGCGCACTCGAATGTTGGTGACTTTCAACAGTTCCTGAGCTTGAACGCTGTAAGGGTCTTCCACAGAGTGCGGAGGGGAAAGAACACGGAATATAACCTGGTTGAGGACGAGAAATACGAGAATAATCAGACACTGGGGCCGAAGTCAGGCTCACTTCTAGACCTACAAACATACAAGTTGGGAGCTGGAGTAGGCCACTTGGCCCATCAAGTCTGCTCCACCATTCAGTAAGATCGTGCTGTATCTGATTACTCCATTTTCCGGTCTACCTTTCATAACCTTTCACCTCCTTGCTCACCAAGAATCTACCCTCTTCTACTTTTAAAAACATTCAAAGTGTCTGGTTCCACTGCCTTTTGAGCAAGAGAGTTCCAAAGTCTTAAGGTCACACAAGGTGAATTTTCAATCAGACAGGAATCAATAACCCTGTTGGATTGAGAGTGAGAAGAGAGAAGAATATTGAGGGAAGAAAAGAGAAAATGACGTGTGACAGTTTGAACTGACATTTAAGAGAAGGTTACAGCAATATTTCAATGTTTATGCGGTAGAGAAAGAAAAGCTGTTCATTCTCATTTACTGACTGGTACAAGGACTGAGATTGCGGTTTTGGGTGAGAGCTATGGGGTGACACTGTGTGGAAGATGTAATTTATATTGTGATCTGGATCTGTTGGCCCATGAGAATGGTGGAGGTGGACATGATCAACAGGCAGGCAGTCTAGGGATAACAAGGTGTAGAGCTGGATGAACACAGCAGGTCAAGCAGCATCAGAGGAGCAGGAAAGCTGACGTTTCGGGAAATCATTTTGGAAAATAAACATGCAGGGCTACACAGTTAGCGCAGAAACCATTTCTCTACAGAGAGCCAGCATGGATTCAATGGGCTGAATGGCTTCCCACTCCTCTATCATAAAGACTTTATGACAATTAATGAATATGCATAATGGTAACTTTGCATCAACACTTGATATGAGACGAATCCTCCAGTTAGATCACAGGCTTGTACATTTTCATGTTTATCCATTCTTTTAAGTGTAAGATTTACTCAAGCTGTTAATTTGCTGCTGAAGGAATGAAAGCAACAGAAAGTTTTAAATTAAATGTTAGGTATTGCCTCAAGTGACAGATATTAGATTATTATACAGATTGGAACAGCATGTGTCATATCAATAATGCATTTAAAACTTTCTACACACAGTTTCTGTCAACACACCATTACAAATTTATGGATCTCCTTTCAGAATGTACACTAGTGCCTGTCCTGGCCTGTCCTGCTCATGGCTATTTATGACGGGAGATCTGATATCATGGCACATCACCCTTGTCTGTCTCGCAACAGCCTCATTGATCCACTGTATCGGGGCTGCTACTGCTCTGTGGCAGGGCTCACTACGGGGAGGGGCGTGTAGTTACAGTGCCGCACACTCACACAGCCAGTATCCTTATCAGTGTGGCTACAGGGACTTATAACAGAAATGTAAAACTAAGATACAGCCTGACATTAAACAGGGGTTTAACAGGTCAAATGATCTTGCCCTCTGAAACCCCCACCGCGTTTCCCTAGTGACTGCACTGGGTCTTGCCAATGGCAGATGCATCACTACAACTGATCGGGTGGCCTGGGGCAAATCAGCCAGTTTTAGATTGTCCCCTCTGTTCACCAATGGGCACAGTGCAATCGAGGCCCGTAGAGTCCTCCCCCAGTCTCCGCAGCATCAGTTTGTGTCCAACACTATACAGACCAATTGGCATTTTTTTTAAAAGAAAGAGTTTGAGGCTGCACAACTTGGCAAGGAAGCCAAGATCTTTGAGAGGAGATTTACTAGAATGGGGGGTGGTCTCCACACGAATGTACAAATAAGGAATGAGTATGTCCTTTGAGCCTGCACCACCATTTAATAAAATTATGGCTGGTCTGATTTTAACCTTAACTCTATACATTCCTGCATATCCCTAATAAGCTTCCATCCCCTTGGTCATCGAGAATATAGGATTTGGAAGACTCTGCAGCCACTGGTTATGTGCAGAGACTGGTGAAGCTGTCACAGGACAGAAGGGGAGGAATGCTCAAATTTACGAAGGATTTTGGTCCAAGTGTACAAAGAAACCAGGGGAAGAGTCAAAACAAGAGGATACTGATTGAAGATAATTGCTACCAGACCAAACAGGAAATGAGTTAGAATCTGGAATGCAGTGCCTGACGCAGGTTTGACGGTAACTCTCTTCAGGGAATCGGATAAATATTTGAACGGGGGCAGGAAATACACAGAACCACAAGGTGAGAGTAGGTGAATGGGTCAGATTAGCTCCTTTGATTAGTAGCCATAGAAACAATGGGCCAAACAGCCTCCCCCTGTGCTGTGCGATTCTATAACCTGATAGAATTTATACCAGTGAACTTAGAAATATAGCTGAAAAAAAAGGAAAGATGTGCAGATAGGAGTGAAATGTTTGTGACTGAAAGGTTTTCCTGTTTATTGTGTTTGTGAAAGTGGTTTACTTGTGAGGCTGCTTCCAAGAACAGAATCCCTCCAAAACCTGGCTTAAAGTGACACTGCAGTAGACAGCCATGGCACAGTGGTGCCACTTACACCTCTCTGTATGTGCCTTACACATGAAATTTGAGTCTAAAGAGTAGATGCTATTGAGGGTGTAAGATATCTGACGAAGAATTGGGGGAGGGGATGGTAGGGAGCTACTCCCCAATGACCTGGTCAAATTTTACACCTCATGCCTAAAATGGATTGCCCAGCTATTATCACACTGTGCTAATCACATGCACACACTGCCACTGTTGGAAACTGAGTTGCCAATGCTGCACAAGTACTGAATTAGTCATGAAAGATGCTATATAAACATAGCTTTCTGACTGCCATATTTCTGTTGTGACAGCCCTGGTCAGATCTTCCCAGGAATATCTGTGCTTAGCTCTGGGCACCACACCTCAAGAAGGATGTACAGACTTTGGAGACGAATTCACCAGAAAGATAGTGGGGTGATGGTGGTGTAGTGATAATGTCACTGGACTAGCAATCCAGAACCCAGGCTGATACTCTGGGGATGTGGGTTCAAACCCCACCATAGCAGCTGGTATAATTTGAATTCAATGTAATCTGGGATTAAAAGCTAGCCCAACTGGGATGATGTCAAGGAGATAGTAAGTGCAGTGGGGTTAAAATTGTTGCAGAGACAGCAGATTATGTCAACAGTTGTAAAAACTTATCTGGTTCATGAATCCCCTTTTAGAGAAGGAAATTTGTTGTCCTTGCCCAATTTGGCCTATATGTGACTCTAGAACCACTGCAATGTTACTGACTTGGACAATTAGGGATGGACATTAAATGATGTCCCTGCCCACATCCCATTAATGAAGTAAAGAAAAGGTTAAATCATGGAGTAGGACTGTATAACCTGCCCAAGGGCTTGAAGATACAACATCAAGAAGTGATTAAGAGCTGGGTGAAATGATTACATGCTAGATGGAAGAAAATGAGTGCCCCTGGTTGGGCAGTCCTGAACAATGGGGACCGTGACCTTGACATTGCAGCCAGGTCATTCCGAGCTGAAAGCAGAAAACACTGCTTTGTACAAAGGGGAGTGGAAATGTGGATGTATTCCCCATCCCCCATGTCTCAGGAGGGTTTCAAAGGAACATAGAATATAGAACAGTACAGGCCCTTCGGCACATGATGTTGTGCCGACCTATTATCCTACTAAGATCAAAAGGACCGAATCGATTTGGCAGAAGTTTGGGAACAAGAAAGGTTCATTCCATTGCTCAGTGTGATCTACATGCTGCCTACTAGTGGGAAAGATGTAAAATTAAAACAGAGAAATGCAAACACTATGGAGTAGCTATAAAGGTGGGGGAACTTTAATTACCTGAAAATAGACTCAGTTAGTGGTAGTGTTAAGGGCAGAACGGGGCACATGTTCCTAGATTGTGTCCAGGAGAATTTTCTACAGTATTGTGTCCAGTCTAATGAGAAAGGAGGTCCTGCTAGACCTGGATCTTGGGAATGAGGTGGGTAAAGTATATCAAGCATCAGCAGGGAAACATTTAGGGAACAGTGATCATTGTATCACAAAGTTAGGACGACGATGAGGACAGTGGATAATCCAAAATACTAATAATTAATTGGGGAGAGCTGACTTCAATAGACCTGGGCTGGTTAGACTGGTTCAAAGGTTGTTAGGGAAAATGGCTGATCAGTGGTTACCTTCAATGAAGAAATGGTTCAGGCACAGTAAAAGTTCTGCAAAAAAAGGAAGGTAGGGCAAACAAATTCAGAGCTCCCTGAATAAAAAATGGAGATAGAAATTAAAATAAAGAAGAAAAAACGTGTGCTTATGACAAGTCTCAGGTAGAAAATACAATTAAGAACCAGGTTAACAAAGGAAGTAAAAAAAGCAAATTAGGGGAGCAGAGAGGCGTAATGAAAAGAGACAGGCAGTGAGCATAAAGGGAATTCCAAAGTCCTCTGTAGGCCCAGAAACAGTAAAAAGAGAGAGTCAGACTGACGAGAGATCAATAAGGGGATTTACACCTGGAGGCAGGAAGCATGACTAAGGGAGCATTCATGTTAAATGAATACTTTGCAACTGTCTTTAATAGAGTCATAGAGTCATAGACATGTACAGCACAGAAACAGACCCTTTGGTCCAACTTGTCCATGCCGAACACATATCCTAAATTAATCTAGTCCTATTTGCCACCATTTGACCCATGTCCCTCTAAACCCTTCCTATTCATATACCCATCCAGATGCCTTTTAAATGTTGTAATTGTACCAGCCTCCACCACTTCCTCTGGTAGCTCATTCCATACACACACTCCTTAGGCCCCTTTTAAATCTTTTCTCCCTCACCTTAAACCTATGCCGTCTAGTTTTTGGCTCTCCCACCCCAAAAAAGACTTGTCTATCTACCCCATCCATGCCCCTCATGATTTTATAAACTTCTATAAGGTCACGCCCTCAGCCTTCGATGCTCCAGGGAAAATAGCCCCAGCCTATTCAGCCTTTCCCTATAGCTCAAACCCTCTAACCCCTGGTAACATCCTTGTAAACCTTTTCTGAACCCTTGCATGTTTCACAA